GTTAGATTCTTACATTTTGTATCGTTTTTACATTTATCTTTTAGTTCAATTAAATATTTTGTATGTTTTATTGAATACAAACTTTATTTTCTACTTTCTATCAATCTCTTCTATATCATTAGCTTATTTTAAACATTTCTTCTAACCTTCTAAATGAAATTTAATACGCATTTATATTCGGGCTTTAAATAAATTGTATTTGTTATGCTATATAGAGTCCTGCTCAGTTTTCCAATCTCTTCCTAGTCCCATATTAATTATTCTTATTTTATTCTTGATTCCATTGAGAATTTTATTGCTGAAATGAAGGGTATCTGTTAGTCGGTCGTCTGCAGCACAAGTAGCTTAAGCTATTTTTATTTGTTAGCTGGCTTAAAACAATAACCTACTAACTGACGTCAAGGCAGCAGCATTTGGGAATTTTAACGATTTTGCACTCGGCGAATGCACGCAGCGCAAAATGAATTGCGTTAAGAGCTGCAGCTGCAGCGAAATTTATCAATATGTTTTATCTAAATTGCAGGACTAACAAGCAGATACGCGAGATAATAGACAAATTACTTGGAACTAACAGTTTCTGGTTGCAACTTAACTGATGCCCCAAAGAAAGTTGTCGCTGCGAAAAACGCTGCGTGTGACTTGCAACTTGTGGCTGCAACTGCAACAACAATAGATGTATCTATCTGTAGCATGTGTGTAAGGTGGCCGCTGCTGTGTGCGTCGCTAGAAAAATGAAGATGTACAGATTTGAGCAGGCGCACAGAGTCGGCCAACAGGCGGCTGGCCTAGACTGGGGATGGCACAGAGTCGCATCTGCACACATACTTGTATAAACCCGTGTTCACTTGCATGTATCTGCATCTGCGAAATGTTGCAACTGCTGCCGGTTTGCGAAGCATGCAGCATGTTTAGTATACATATGCACAGATATATAGATACACAAGTGTGTGTGTGTGTGTGTGCTTGAAGTGAGGCTCGTCGCGCTGCTCTGCTCGCTGTTCTAGCTCAGCTGGTTTTCGCATTTAGTAGATGCGCCACACAAGATATGTGCGAAATGTATCTAGAACTCGTTTTCGACTGTATCTTGAGAGCTGCGCTTTGCCATGTGCTGTTCGCCCAGCCATTTGCAACATGCACACCACCAACCTTGGCTGTGTGTGTACGCATGTGTGTGTGTGTTCCCGTGTGTATAACCAACGAGATACATTTAGCTGATTACACTTGCAGATACATTATAAAATTACTCAAAATCAGCGAAGCGCACTGCATGGATGTGCAGTCCGTCCGTCTCTGTGTCTGTGTGTGTGTGTGTGTGTGTGTGTGGGTTTTATGTATTTACATTCATGTCATGGTTCAGCGCAGTTAACACACACACACACACACGTTCTTATTGCTCGGAAACAAGTAAGAGTGCTCTAGTCGAGAGTGCCCAAACAAAATATACCCTGTAAAGAGCTCCTACATAACACATGCAAACCTTTGCTGCATCTGCGCTGAGCTACACCCTGTCCAAAACTGATTGTTTCTTTTTATATTGAATTGAATTGCACGCTTGCCAAATTGGTTGGCTCTAGCTCTTATATTCTTCGAGATATGCTCGAAAAATGGGGTTGACAATCGATATTTATCGACATATTGAATTTCGTGGATATGCGCAGAAAGTAAGCTTTGATATTGGCTTTGATAGATTTTGCATATCAAATAGTTTTTCGCATTTCAAGAAATCGAGAACATGTAAAACTCGTTGCCCTACTTGTGTGTGTGTGTGTTTTTTTTATTGCGACAGGGTATTACATGATATAATGAAATGTATCTCGGGTTGGCAGCTGTACGCAAAGCTTTTAAATTTGCCTATTAGATTGCGCAAAGTGGTTTTGAAAATTTGATTTTAACCAAACTAATTGCTTTAGCCCGGCTCGCTCGGACGCAGCGAGCCCTTTGTTGGCCAATTGAATTATGCGGCCTGTTTTTGCACTTAGCAAGCATCAGATGCAGCTTCAGCCTGTGGCCGCAACGTCACATGCGTGGCATGCGTTCTGTTGTCGAGCTGCAACCTATGCGAACTGCCGCAACTTGTTGGCCTGGCCAATACAACCATTTCAACTAGTTGCTGCCCGCCGCCTGCTGTCGCTTGCTGGGCGCCTGCTCCGACTAGATACAATAGTAAAAGTGTGCTCGCTGACTGAGTGAATGCTCGAGTGAGTGGATGAGTATGAGTGTGTGTTTGTGTGTGAGTGTGAGTGAGTGCCTTGGCAAAACTGGTAGTACTCGTGCATTGTACGTGGGGCACGTTGCAATGCCGGCCGGCCGGCAGGCCGGCCTGTAATTTATGGTCATGCAAAAGAGCGACTCGCCTAGATACGACAGCGTGGGCTGTGGGCTGTTGGCTCTGGGCTCGGGGATCTGGCTATTCGGGTGGCAGCACTTCGCTAAAAGTTTACAATTCGCATTCGTTTTTATTGTCATCACGTCTTGTCCTCCTTTGGTGCATTTTGCTTTTATTTTTTGATATTTTTTTTTGCATTGTCGGCCATTGCACCGCTCGGCCGCCTCCAGGCCACAGGGCCTGCATTCGCATGTCTTTTTCATATGCAATTTGCATGACTGTATTTTTGTTTTCTCGTTTCGTTTTGTCTTCCTGCATTTGCGCTCGTCGTTGGCTTTGTCCCTGACAGTTACAACTTTCTGACGCATGATTTGTTGAAAGGCCTTTCGTTTTTTATAAATAGCAGACGGAATCTGGGACATTGTAGGTGCTCGCTCGAAAAAAAAGAAAAGCTGACAAAAAAGAAAAGCTGACAAAAAAGCGGAAAAGCCATGCACATAAAGCGCAAATATGCCTAAGTACTTTGCTGTTTAACAAAACTGACCAAGACAAAGCTGAAGTCTTTTTTGGGCGGCTCGTTTGAGTAAATTTGTAATTAAGCGAAAAGTCAAATGGTTTACAAAGGCCACAAAAATATTTATTAAAGGTTGAATAGATGTGTTCATTTATTGTGAAAATTACACAAAATTACACACAGTATATATATACTTAGTATGTGTATTTATTCAACTTACTTTTCATACATTATTTTATTCTTCCCATTCTCCAAACTTTTGGCCTCGTTCCATTTCTTAAATATCATCTTTCTATGCGATTTTTATGAACTCAAGAATAGCTTATCGCTTTTGTTGTTTATTTTGTTAGATATATTTATAAAGTTGATATCGCAACGGTTTTGCTTTATTATTATTTTTCCTTATTATACAAATCAAATAGTAGATACGATTGTGTGTTAGGGAAAATCAGCATTGGGAAAACCCATAGTCAAGCACTCATATTTGCAGCATTCGCTTCTTGTTTATAATTTGTAAGATAAGGAAAATATTAATAAGCTATTAATTTAATTTGTTATCACCTCCTTTAATGTTTAAGGTTCGGATGTACAAGAAGAAAGTTAAGCTTAATTCCAGCCCACATATTTAAAATCTCATATCGAACTATATCTTATCTCTATTTATAAAACTGTGCGTCGTGATTGACTGACTGACTGACTGACTGACTGATTGGTGATCAACGGAAAGCCCAGACCGTCAGAGCTGGGAAGCTGAAATTTTCACTGTAGTTACGTTATGTGATGAAGGTGCACGTTAAGACGGGGTTTCCAGTAATTCCACCCGCACGTGTGGAAAAATCGCGAAAAATATTTATATGCAACTTTTTGCTTACTATCCGATCGACCTCAAACTCATTTTCAAAGATCTTTGTGAGAAATTATCTTGGGCGACAAATGCGGGTCAAAGGTTTAATAAACGAAAGTTTATTCTTCAGCTTCTCAGATTCTCTTCAGCTTCTCAGATTCTCACCGCAAGACTAACATGGACGGTAACCGATTCCATCATTTGGTTCATTATTCGATGCACTTAAAGCATTTATTTAAATAGAAGTGGGGATCAAGATGGATAGATTTCCACTTTGCACGGACGTGTAATTAGTGGAAAGGTAATATCTAAAATTGTTAGCACAAAAGGTTCCACGGGAAAGGCCAGGCAATACACGGGCTTTTCCATTTATATATATATCTAATACATTTGCACATATCTAATACATGTGGGCAACTTTCGAGCTAGGTTTTTGTATACCTTTTTGGCTTTCAGAACTGGGTCATCAACATTATCGAGTCACGGCCCAAAAGCGGCACTCACACAGAATTTTACACTTACACAAGTCTTTTGAGACAAGCGAAAAAAATTTAATAATCTTTACGACCACAACTACGAATTATTTTCATTATTATTATCGTCGCGACTGCTGCTGCTGCTGCTGCTGCTGCTGTGTGTGGTAGATGGTTTTGGGCGGGGGCAGAGGCAGGGGGAGTGACCCAACAATGGCCGATAAAAATCGCTGGCACAATGAAAGCAGCGACGCTGGCGACGCTGACGACGACGACGACGACGTCGACGACGCCGCCCGGTGCGGCTGTTAACCTTGAGGTCTATGACTCACTGAGTCAGCCGCTAGGGGGCGCTGCTTTCTTTTCCAAGTGCTAAAAGATGATTGTGTGCTCCACATTGCGGGAAGGAAGGTCAGCGGAATGCTTGCGGCTCTGATCGGGCGCGACCTTTCACTTTGGGAAAGTACAAGGCGCGCCAAAAATAATTTATTGTAAATCGAACATCGGAACGTGGAATTGATGGGGGCCCATGGAAAATCGTGATTTTCATAAATGAATTGTTGGCGACATGTCTGACGAAAAGAAAGCAACGTCATTGGCATCTTCTAAACGGCCTGGGTTGCTGGACCCATCCGACGATGGGTCACGGCGTTTACAAATGACAAACTCTTTCAAATTTATGACCACGAAAACGAACTCGAAGATGAACAGAAACACGTCCTAACGATTGTGGCTCTTTTGTTTGCCAAAGACTAGAGAAAGGCTCTGCTGCTGCATTGTGTCGTGCCGAAGACTAAACCAGCTTTTCATCTTCCCTCTCTCTCTCTCTTTACTCTCTTGCAGAATTTCTTCAGATTGAATCGCCTGAGAAAACTGGGCCTGAGTGACAATGAAATTGGACGCCTGCCGCCGGACATACAAAACTTTGAAAATCTCGTGGAGCTCGATGTTTCACGTAACGGTAAGTCAAGCACAACACCACACAACACAACATATAAAACATGCAACAAGTGCCGGATAATTATTATTGACATTGATGGGTTGCCGTTTTTGCCTTGGGAAAGCTCAGGATGCGCTCGAAACGAAACGCTGGCACGCGCCTATCCATTTAGTTGACTGACAGACAGCAGGGGGATTTTGTCATACAAATTGAGTCACTTAATGCCTGACATAAAACAATTGCACATCAGCTCTAATTGTGTCTGAAGGAGCACGCTCTCTGTCTCACTGTCTGCTTGCAAGTGAGTCAAAATCTTGTGGGTTGGCTTTCACCCGCATTGTTATTGTTGTCAGGCAACAGTCACAATAATTCTCAGTAACCCACTCGAACTTTGCCCTATTATACGCTCATAGTATTGCACTTGTCCTGCAGTAGATCTCCTCTAGTACTTAACTGGAAATTGACTTGGCTGTCAGTTACGATTTGTTGTTACTTTTGAACAACTTGCATCAGCAAACAGACTTGTTTAGCCAGAAAAAAGTTATGTTTTTTCCGTTCTCGCAACTCTTCGGTGCAATATTGCACGCACGCAGCGGACTGTCAGACAGGCGAGTCGCGTAGTCCGAGAACCGTATACCCCGCACATATTTGTTTTCTGCTTAAGCAAGCATAAATCCGTAAACACCAATCAGTAATTGGAGTCAAGTGCAGTGCGCACAGCAGCGCGTATTAAAAATAAAACAAATATGTATTCTCTTATATATATGTACGTGCACACAGCTATATACATGGAAGTTTTGACAAACGAGCAGGTTAGAGCATGTTTTCCAAATACCCTGTAGCATATTTTTGAGAAAACTTAACCCAATTTTCACAACTCAAATGTTTTAAAGAGCGACTTCTTTATGCTGTAGGGTTTATTGGATAGCATAGAAAAATAGTTAATAAAATTCATGTTTTATGTTATATTCACATGTTATTTTAGTTCATTGTATGTTGAATATCATCAATCCCCTTTTTGCATACAGGGTATTTGGAAAATGAAACCAAAGCTTGTTTCCATTGAAGACTTGTTCATTCATTCATTTAATTCAAGCAGTCAGGGCCGGACTTGACTCTTTTTTTGGGCTTTTAAACAATAAATTACCGAAATAATCAATCAGACAAATTTGTATAGTTTCAAGTGTTATTTTCTGTTTAAGGTCGATTATTTTAATTTTGTAAAAACATATTTTAGTATCGATCTTTAGGATACACCTCTTTTAATCTAGTCCGCTCCTGAACTCGGACCACAAAGACCGAAGTATTTTTGATGATGTTTGCTTACAACTTTGTGCGGCTTCCTATTTCCGTTTTGTCCACAAGGGGCTTAAACTGGGTAGAAGTATTGCACTGCCAGCTTGTCGGGTTGACTGCTTTTGCTGACCATGCAACATGCCGTGGTTGTTTATGCATATGACCCACAAATGTTCGGCAAACACACCCCAAGCAATTCAAGTGAATGTGCTCTTAAAGCTCGCCCGTCGTCGCCTGGTGCTGGAAATCTGAGCTCTGCGGGTCTAAGTGAAAGGCCCTCAGCGATAGAGATGTGAGCCACGGTAATTTTCACTAGACATGATCACAGCGATTTGTGGCCGACTATCAAACACACATATATATATATATATATATATATGGCTTTTAGATCAAAATTCAGTCGGGCGGCAGCTGGAAATGACTTTCACATTCAATTATCAATGCTGAAATTCAGTTTTTATAATTATTATTGCCAAAGCGATGTCGCTTAATGGCTTTAAACTTGTTTGGTAATAGGAAAAAGCGCAATTGGCAGGTGCGGCCGCACCTTGCTATATGCACCCACACGTGGCAGTAGGTATTTTTATACCCTCCGAATCGGTCGAAGCCAAACGAAATATTTCAGTTCGCAACTGTGGCGCATTTCGTTAAAATTAGTGCGCTTGATTTGTGTTGCTTTTGTGGCCATAACAATGGCTATGCCAGCAGCAGCGCAGCAGCAGCGCAGCAGCAGCGCAGCTGCAGCGATTGTGCAAGTGGATCGCAGGGAAACGAGCTGCCAGGCGCAGTACGCAAAAACACAGTATATTACGTATACGCCCGCTTGCACTTGACAAAAGAATTGGTCGACAGCGAAAACAAAAACGTGCAGTGCATTTGTAAGTGCGCCGCACAATGGGCCCAAACACAATTAAAGCAAACACAATTAAAAAAACTAGAATCTATTTAATAAAATAAAAAGCTATTTAATAAAATACAAGATTTTATTGAGAGATGTAAAAAGATGTAAGTTTTGTAGACATTAAAAATGATCGAATATTTATCGATTTATATTCGTAATTAAAGGCTGTTAAAAAACTTGACATAAACTTTTCGAAATGTTTGCTTTGCTTTTCATAAAAAAGACTAGCAGATCGATGAAATATATTGTTATTGGATAATAGTTCCAGTTCGATAACATTAAAAGATTGCAATATTGATTAATTTAATAATGTCACGAAATTTATTTATTCGTCAGGTTGGTTTTTTATACATGCTATGACTTTGACTATCATTTATTATAATTGCTATATAAACTTTAACTTTATACTTTCTTTCAATGAGTTGTTGAGTCCGCGGCTTTCTCTAAGTCCTCCCCGCTCAGCTTCACAAATCCGACTATCGATAATTCCTTATTTCAGATAATAAACATGTATCTCATACTTCTATCTTACACTACTCTCCATCTGTCTTTTGACAGCAAGGAACGTACTTTGTCAACATAAATACTAAGTTTACCATTAAAACGAACTGATTTCTATATTCTCTCAAGTTGTTCCACTGTGCAGCGCAATGGTTATACCAACATGGCTAGTAAAAACATTAATTTGTATAGCTGTTGCGGTACACGCGTGTGTTAGTGTGTGTGCATGCGGGTGTGTTTGCCATTTGCAGGTGCTGCGGACGCAGTCGTCGTCGTCGTCGTCGTTAGCAGCCGCGGGTTTGTACGAAACGTTAATCATTATGACAAGTTGACCTGTTTGCGAAACGTGCGCGAGAGGGCGCTTTTGTTACCTGCTACTCATTGCATTGCATTATGCCCTCGAATAGAGGGTATTATAATTTTGTCATGAAATGTGTGAAATGTTTAATGCTTAAAAGAAGAAGACAAGAAGTGCATATCAAACGCCAAAAGGTCATGTGTGTTTACCTGTTTCTATGCAAACTAGTCTCTCGCTTTTAAATTTATCGCTCTGAAACTATATCAATATCTACGTATGCAAGTTATACAATGCTCCTAAAATGTGAGACAAATCTTATCAATATCGGACTAATATATCAGATGGGTCGAATAGTTAGGTTTTGTAGGGAAAATGTTCTTGTTAGAGATGTCTCCATCAAATACTCTAACAAATGCGAGTTATTCTCATATATCTGCAAAGCCTTAATCCATATCATTCGGAAGGGTATTTTATCTTCGGCGTGTTAAAGATAATTGTACTTTCTCGTTTTGTTTTTGTTTTTCTGTTTTCCCAACGCCGCTAATTGTTTGTTTATTTGCGCGTTGTGTTTTCTATTTCTTAAATTTCGCAATTTGCTTTTGCTGCAGTTTGCGCTGTGTGAAGTTAGCTCGTGGCTTGTTTATTAATACATACTAATTTGTGCATTTATATGTATATGTATTTGAAAGTCGCTGCAGCCCCTCGACAAACAGAGTCTGTTTGAGGAAGTGAGAAAATCCGAGCTCAAATCAAGTATATACGAGAATATGCGGGAGTTTATTAAATGGACAGAATACTGTGGGAATTGGTTGTGAAATTCTATTATTGTCTGCTGCGCCATGGGAACAGCTTGACAACCGATTTCAGAATACCGAAAGAAAAAAAACTGCATCTTACAAAAAGACCAATTAAATGCCATTTGAAAGTCATGTACTAAGCCAGCGACGACATCCTCAACGGCCGGGCACGAAAAGCCAACGGAATCTGTGTCATCTTTTATTCTTTGCTGTTGCAATTGAGGCGTCAACTGGGTCAAAGTTAAGCTGTGCGCCGAGTGCACCGAAAGTCGTCGCGTCGCCTCATTCAAGTGGCTTTCGCAAGATTCTTGTTGTTGTTTTTTGCGCTGACAGCAGACACAAGTATTGTTAAAGTTGCTGGCTGCTTGAGTCTGAGGGCAAACAACAGGCAGGCACTAAGCTGCAGAAGGCCCTCGACTATAGATCAAAAGAGCTCGTTGGCGGTAGAAAGAACGAGAAAGAGGGAGCTTTTCGTAAGCACAATGCAAAATCAGGGCTGAGCTGTGGCTTGACTGGACCTAGGCCACACGTTATTACCGGCCATGACTTTGTTAAATGTTCACATACAGAATGTGCTGTTCCCCACAGGTATTATTTTTTGGCGTAGTCCGAAAGAAAAGACTGCTAACACATACACATGCACATGCCCATGGCGTGTGAGAACAGAAAATCAAAAATTGTTTAATTAATAGCATTAAACAAAAACTATATCAAGAAATCAGAAAAAATTGAAAAATCATTTCTACTCACATTGTACTTAGCCATAATAAATATGTACATACATATTTCAAATGTTTGCCCCCCAATTGACGTCACTGGGCGAGGGCAATTAAAAATAAAAACTAATCGACAGACGAACAATAATTTTGCATGCGGGAAACAAATCAAAAGCCAAAAGTACGACATGAACTGCCTACCAACACATCGAAAAAATGGCAAAAATGTGTCGGAAAAACTAAACTCAACGAAATGTTGGGAAAATTAGTTAACCAGACTAGTAAGATACCCTCATTTTCACTGTTGGTTGATTTCCAATGTCTGATAGAAAAGTTAAAAAACAGTTTAACACGCCAAATCGATGTTTTCTGCTAATCTGCGTGTTAAACATTTAACAGGAAGATAGAAGTGCCTACACCGAGAAATGTTTTAACTGGCAAAAAAAAGTAAAATTCATTTAAATACAATTGACACGAATAAGAAACTACCGTGCCATGTACCCTGCCATTTT